AATAATAATAATAATAATAATAATTATAGTTTTAATAATAAGAGCCTGGTGTGATAGCATTCATCTGTAATCCCAGCTACTCAGGAAGCCAAGGTAAGAGGATGACAAGTGTGAAGCCAGCCTGGGCAACTTAAAATTTGAAAATGCCTGATGATGTAGCTCAGTAKTAGAGCACCTGCCTAGCATATGAGAGGTCCTGGGTTCCATCTACAGCACTGAAAAGATTGTGAGAAATTCATGTTTATTCATTTACCTCTTAATCAGCAGTAATCTAGTTTGAACCTAGATGTGAAAARCTGACTTAGAACCCCAGGTGTAAGCTCTTAACCATTCTCTGAATTCTGTCAATTTCTTCCCTAGGCCATAACCCAACTGAATAAATACAGATTTTCCTTATTTATCATGAGATTCACCCCTAACTTTATTCCTCTGCCAGAGGTCATCTGTTTTTAATGTTGTAAACTAGCCACAGTAAGCTGTTCTTTTTCTTAGAGTCTGCAAAGAGAATAGACTCTTTTGTTTTTAAAGAAATAGAATACAGATATACAAACTGTATATAGAAACTGCAAACGCACACACAAAAAAACTGGAGTCTTCAAAGTATATGGACTTGTTTCAATATGCATAGGGTATGACCTAGTCATCCCAGCCTCCAGCTTGGTCAGCAGTTTCCAGCACTTGCAGACACCGTCAAACCCCAAAAGGGTTTCACATCCCTTATCTCACGTGATCATCATAACTACCTAGAAAGGTAGATCGGGGGTTATTCTGTCCATTTTATGAAAGTGAGAACAGAGTCAGAGAAGACACATAACAGAGCTAGTTGATTTCGGAAACTGGACTTCAGTTCTTTCTTTTCCACCGGTGACCGGGCAGCTGGGCCCTGGTCCTGATGCTGAGGTTCCTGAGCGCTGCGCCGGGGCCAAATGAGTCAGCCAATAAGGAAGCTGCATCTAGGAGGCGGGACCACGAAGCTGCCAATGATAGACCCCTCAGGGAGAAAGATGTATCAAATCAGAATCTTGCACTGAAGAGGGACGGCTGCTCGGCCAATGAGAGGCTAAGACCTGCCAGGCTGGAAGGCGGAACGGCCAGGCCGAGAGCCGAGCGCCAACCCGCGAGCGCCCGAGCTCCAGCGTGCTGCCCCGGTCRCCGCCCGCCATGGCCCGCGCTGCCCTGCTCCTCGCCAAGCTGTCCACGCTCCTCGCCGCCGCCACTGCAGGCGGAGATGTCCCGCCCGGCAAAATCGGTGCGGGAAGAACGCGGTGGGGGGCTATGTTGGGGACGGCTGGGCGGGAAAAGGGTTCGCAGCCGGCAGCAGCTGGCTGGGGGTAGGGGAGGGCAGCTGGGCAAGGGAGGAGACCTCAGGAGAGTAGCTGGGTGACGGAGAGGCGAGGGACTAGGACTGGGCGAAAAGGGGGACCGCAGTAAGGAAGGTGTCGATGGGGAGGATGGGATGGGCATGTAAAGAGGGCACCTGGGACAGTAAAGAAGCGTGGGCAGGACTGGTCACTGATCTCGCCCGGAGGTGCAGGGTCACTGAGCTTCTGACATGTATGTGGCTCTTGACTAGGCGTCCGTGTGACAGAACAGGAACTGGATAGCATTCACAAAGGTCTATTCAGGGCTGTCTGTAGCAGGCATCGTGCTGTAGTTCCTGCTTGGACCAGAGACCTCACAATACGGGAAGTCTGTTCTAAGGTTGAGAAAGTACCGAGCACACAGAGGAAGGACTTCACCAGGCTTTGCCAGCTTGCCAGGGCTTCCTAGAAGTAACATCTAAGCCAAAACTTCCGGTCGATAGGAAACCGTCCCACGGAGACAGAATAGATCGACTGGAGATAGATTTGCTAGATGAGAGAATGGGGATTCTTTTTTTTTTTTTTTCCCACGTTGTTGATGATCTAACCCAGGGACCCCAGCGCACTAGACAAGTGCTCTACCACAAAGCTACACCCCCAGCCCCATAGCAGTCATTTTTCTTTGTTTATTAATTGTGCTGTTTCTGCAATATTTCATTTGAAACTGTCAAACACAGAGCAAAGTTGAAAGAATTTTACACTGATCATGCATATACCCACTACCTAGATTTTGCTGCTCATTGCTACTCACTTTATCTCATACTTATCACATGTTCTGGCCATCTGTGAATCCATCTTACAAATTTTTTATGAATTCCAGTTATTCAGAGCAGGACAAGTGCCATGCCAAGCTTCCCTTTAGCTTTCTTGATTTTCCTCAGTCCTGTGACAGGAGCGTCTGTCCACCCTACCCCAAAGGAGAATGAGGAGCTTCCCATCAGGGTGACTTAATCCTTAGGCTCCAGCTGGATCCAATCTGAACTCCTCAGAGTGGCATCTGGACCCTTCAAGCCCATCTATAAATTTCCACACGCTGCCCCTCTCATGCTGTTCTTTGCAGATCGTGCAGTTCCTCTCATTGGTCCAACTAATTGTCCTCTCGGGTCCTAGTCCAAAGGTTTGGTTTTTTTTTTTTTTTTCCCTTGTATCCCCACACTCTCTCAAGCGGAATGTATAGCTCCTTCCTCAGGATTCCCTGGAGCTCTGTTGTCACATTTTGGCATAGGTTGTGATAGCTGACTTGCATGGATGCCCCCTGGCTACCTGGGCTCCTGGGCACAGAAGCTCTATTTGGCTCATCTTCGATTCCCAGCACATCCTACTATAGATCTAGATAGCTGTCAGTCATGTGTGTTCAGTGAGCTGGTCCACAGTGAAGTGATGTCTTCTGCTTCTCTACACCCCTTGTGTGYCTTCTAGGCTTTGAAATATCAGTATCTCTAGGAACCATGGGTGGTTTACAAATGAAGAGGAGGAGAAAAGAGGATTAAAAAAATAAATAAAAGGGGGCATTCTTGGAACTGACTTTGGGAATACTGAGAAAGAGGAAGTGGCTATTTTTTCAACCTGCAACAAATACTTTATGAACTCCACTACCTGTGAGGACCTAGGGACATGGTGACCCTGTTCTCTCTGGGTCCTTAAATAGACCATTTGAATATTGTGTGGCAAGGCTAGGCCAGGGGTAAGCAGACTGTGCTGCCTGTATACACAGAAGGAAGCCCTGAGTGCGTTAGGAGGGTCAAGCAAGCCAAGCTAAAGATGATAGATGTGGGCATAGAAGTCAACAAGGTGCAGGGTCTCAGAGGATGCCTGACAAGAGGGGGGACTCAGGCAAAGGCCAGGCTCATGCCTGAGCCTTTGGGTAAGGACATGCACTGCATAGTGGAAGAAGGCTAGACAGACAAGGAGGTGGAGTACTGGGAGAGGAGGGCAGGGAGTAGAAAGGGAAGTGGAGGCTGATTATAAGAACATGGTGTTCTCTGAAGGTTACCTGCTATTTCTTTATTTTTTTGTTGTGTATTTATTTATTTTGCACTGGGAATTGAACCCAGGGCACTTAACCACTGAGCCACGTCCTAGCCTCCCTCTCTCTCTCTCAGAGAAAGGGTGTTGCTAAGTTGCTTAGGGCCCCACTAAGTTGCTGAGGCTGGCTTCAAACTTAAGATCCTCCTGCCTCAGCCTCCTGAGCCTCTGGGATTACAGGCGTATGCCACCACACCCAGCTGTCTGMCACTTCTTGATTAGAGATGTGGTCTTAGGATCCAACATAAGTCCAGTAAGGACAAATGATACCAGGTTTAGCTCACTTCCTTTTTGGATAGGGTTACTGGACTGTCAGGTGAGAGGAAAGCAGTATTTCCAATACATGGTGGGCACAGTCTTGGGTTAGGTGACAACCCAGATCAATTGCTTCATGACTGGTCTACTCTTCTCACACAGGACTATTTAATGATTAGTGTTTATCTAGACAGTGGTTCCTGACCACCTCTTAGCTCTGTCCAGTGAAATGTTTTTATCAGTTACTTAGATTACGATGCAAACGAACTTGGTTTGCAAATAATGGGAAGGCAGAGGAGGTGTAGTAAAGATGGTGAATGATAAGACCCAAAAGAGACCTCAACAAACAGTAACTGTAATAAAGAGTGTCCAAAGATAAGGAGCAGCCTGTCTTAGGGTACATTCCAATCTTGGCAAATACAGACATAGAAATGATTTACATGTCAGGTGGTAGGTTGGACTTAGACCAAGGGTTGGCAAACATTTTCCAGTAAAAGGCCAGAGAGCTTTGTGGTCCATTATAGTCTCCGTTGCAATTATTCAGCTCTGTCTAGCATGAAAATAACCAGAGACAATATATAAAAGAAAAGGCTGGGCACAGTGGTACACACTTGTAGTCTCAGCACCTGGGAGGCTGACAGGGAAGAATCATTTGAGCCCACGAATCCAAGATCAGTCTAGGCAGCATAGCAAGAAGGAAAAAAAAAGTGTGCCAATAAAACATTGTTTATAAAAACAATCACCTGCTTGGATTTAACCTGCAGGCTAGAGTCTGCCAAGCCCTAAATTCACGAGTGATTTCCAGACACTGACCCTCCCAACAGAACTAGTCAGTAAATATTGTCACCAGTCTATACAGAAATAAGGAAAATAGGGACAATGTAATACGTTTGGAGTAAGATTAAATTCATTCTCTTCAAACAACCCTCCTGAATTTGGAGATTCTTTCCTGCTCTTCTGCTGCTCAATTGTTTTTTCCTTTGTAACATGAGGGTAATAGGACACTGCAGTTTTCAGCTCTGCTTGTTATTCAGACCTTTACTGAAAACTCAGGACAGTTCGAAATGTTACAAGCCTGTGAGGTACAGGTGCTGGGGAACCTCAGTGCAGGAGGATGCAGAGGTGTGACCCCGGGCCCTCACCCCGTGCTCTGTCTGTCCTACCCTCCCCCTCCCGCCTGCTGGCAGCGGTGGTTGGTGCTGGGATCGGGGGCTCTGCTGTGGCCCATTTCCTCCAGCAGCACTTTGGACCCCGAGTGCAGATCGACGTGTACGAGAAGGGAACTGTGGGTGGCCGCCTGGCCACCATCTCAGTCAACAAGCAGCACTACGAGAGCGGAGCAGCCTCCTTCCACTCCTTGAGCCTGCACATGCAGGACTTCGTCAAGCTACTGGGTAAGTGCCAGGATCTGGGGCTTTAGCACCCCAGGGCTGGCAGCAGCCACCAGGCCCTTCCCAGACTGCCCAGACCTATGAGGCCCAATGGTCATATAGCCCAATTTCCTCATTTTACAGATGGAGCAGCTGAGACCAGAGAGGGGAAGGAACTTACCTGAGGTTACACAGTGAGTTAGTTTCAGAGCCGGGATTAGAACTCAGGTTTGACTCCCAGACCAGTTTCTTTCCCTTTCAATTTGCTGCCTCTGAATTATTGTGATTCTATCAGCCCCCCATGCTGGTACCTGCCAACTATTTGGTACCCTTCTAGGTAATATGTAAGAATTACCTCACATCCTCCTTACCAGCCTGAGAGATGGGGGTGAGATCTTCCCCAATGAAACTGAGGCTCCAAAGTGTTAAACTCCTCAACTAAAAGCACACAGCTAATAAATCAGGAAGCTGGGATTCAAACCCAGCAGCATCTGTCCAAACCACAAATGTACTTACTGTTTGACCCAGAAATTCCTCTTATCAGAAGTGAACCTACAGGTGGTCCCACAGGTGTGTGGAATGGCACACACATGAGCCGGTTCATTACTGCATTGTTTGCACTAGCAAAGATTGAAAATGTCATCTCTGCCCACCCACTGGGACCTACTAATTCACAATAATAAATACCTGATTGTGTAAGAACACAATTCAGTAGCCAGAATGGGAAGATCCTTTATACCCAGTTATAGAATAATCTCCAAGATATAATATGTTGTTAAGGTGCAGAACAGTGTGTATCATATGTGGTGTGGGGAAGGAATTAAATCATGGCTATCTGCATATTTCCAAATCCAGTGCTTTGTAGGTTGTAGAGCACTGGACAGCTGGAAGGAGCTATGGCTGTCTCCATGTTACCTTGGTGCCCAGGACCCCATCTCAGCAAGCCCCGTGTCTCTCAGCCACTGGCACTCTGGGATGGCCTCTGTATTTTTCTTACATCTGAGTGGATTCCCATTTAAAAATATATAAAATGCTATATTCTTTTCCTAATTGACTAGGAAGGACAAACATTGTCCCATTGTATTTGCGTGTAGTTTATAGACACACAGCACAAAAGAACAAACCGTGGTGCTCCTGTTTGTTTTAATGGAACCAGGCTTTTGCATTAAGAAGGCCCTGAATTTAAGCTTGAGGCACTGCCAGGCCTCCCAGGGGAGGGGGAGTGCCTTTGAAGGGGACCTGAGGGGCTCCTGGTTTCTGCAGGGCTGAGGCACCGACGTGAGGTGGTGGGCAGGAGCGCCATCTTCGGCGGAGAGCATTTCGTCCTGGAGGAGACTGACTGGTACCTGCTGAACCTCTTCCGCCTGTGGTGGCACTATGGCATCAGTTTCCTGAGACTGCAGATGTGGGTGGAGGAGGTCATGGAGAAATTCATGAGGTAGGGCTGGGCCAAGCTGTGGGGAGGGCTTTCCAGGGGACCAAGGTGAAGAGCTCAGGAAATTAGCAGCTCAGCAGCTCAGCCACAGTGAAAAGGGAAAGGTACTGGTGGATTTAAAGGCCCAGCATGACTCAGTGCAGGCTTTCAGCAAGCCCTCATCCTGAGGAGTGGCCTCTTGGGGCAGGGCTGGTGCCTCTGGCATTGTTATTTGAGCCCATATTCTTTCCTGCTGCTAAATCAATTGGAGCATGGATTGAAATTCAGTCACCTACAAGGGCCAAAGTGGGATGTGCATAAGTGAAGCCACTGGTGGAAGACGGCTTGGAGCCACAGGAAGTGGGGGGACCTGAAAAGACAGGTCAGCAGAGGGAGGCAGTCAGCATGCTTCTGCAGTCCCCTGTGGTCAGTCATGGGAGGATGTCACCCCATGGGCTAAGTCTTCTAATTTTTCAGGAAGGAAGCTGGAAATCCAGAGTTATACATGAAGTCTCCCAGCTTTTCAATGTTTGCCACGAATTCATCTTGTAAGCCAAATTTAACAAATCTGCAGGCCATGTGCAGCCCAGGGCCACTCATTTGCAAAGTTTACTATCCCTAGTTTTTCTGTCTAGAACAAATACCTCTCTTCACCACTTCTCTCCTCCTTGGGCACCAGTTCCTCCCCATCACCTTCAGGTATGGAGGGCAAGTGGTCTATGCCCACTAAGTATATACATCAAGCATCCACATAGAGTCCCCAAGGCCTCCTGCAGGCTCTCCCTGTTCCCTACCTCCTCCCCCTGCAGAGATCGTCCCTCCACCATCATCATCCCCCTCTTCAGTGTCAGATGCTCAAGCATGGCCACATGGCCCCCTTCCCTGCTCTCTGGCCCTCCCCCATCCTCTTCCATTCCGTAACTACTTGGATATGGCATTTCTCCCTTATATTCTCCAGATGTCCCCCTCAGCTTATGTCCTTGAGTCTCATTTTTTCTTTCTTATTCTTTTCTCCCTTGTTAATTTTATTTGAACTTACAATGTTGACTTCTCCCTGTTAGGGGAGATGACTGCTACCTGCCAGCTCTAGTTTCCCCTTCAGTTACAGACCCACATTTCCATCTGCTCTGGACACCTTTATCTTTTGTCCTGTTAGCAACCCAACACAGCATGTTTACAAAGCAGCCCTAGAATGGGCAACATTTCAAAGGCCAGCTGGTCTAGAAATCCATAGGTAGATGTTTCCAGTCCATGCTAGCCCTTGGGATTGGGTGAATGAGCCGTACCATGTGAGCTTGAGTTACTGGGAGTTCTGTCGGATGAAGACAAAGGAGAGGACAGTATTGACAGGAGGCTGCTGACATCAGGTCCAACATGGTCTTAGAAGCCAGGGCAGAGTGGAAACTAGTGGGAGACCCCGCTCCACATCCGGGGATGTATCAGTGTGGACAGGTCATGGCCACTGCCTGCAGTCCTGTGGACTGACCTCAGGGGAGTGGAATATAATTGTATTCAACAGAACTGTGGCTTGAAGCCACATCTAGTGGGAATACTTGCCTTTGTCTCCGTGCCGTTCCTCTAGGACAGGCCCAGCACAGCCAGAAAAATAGGCCAAAGGGAACATAATCAGCCTCCTTTCTCACCTCTCTGGAGGTAGAGGAGGAGGCAGATCCCTGGTGGGCCTTCTGGGTCCACAGATACCCAGTGGCAGGTGATCAGCCAGAAAGCCTTTCTGCAGAGGACTGCAGCTCCTTGTGTCCTCTAGGATCTACAAGTACCAGGCCCATGGCTATGCCTTTTCGGGTGTTGAGGAGCTGCTCTACTCGCTAGGAGAGTCTGCCTTTGTCAACATGACCCAGCGCTCTGTGGCCGAGTCCCTGCTTCAGGTGGGCGTCACCCAGCGCTTTATCGACGATGTTGTCTCTGCGGTGCTCCGGGCCAGCTATGGACAGTCAGCAGCCATGCCCGCCTTTGCCGGTGAGTGTCGAGCCCCTCAGCCTGCCCGTCCGCCCTCCCCCTGCCCATAGTGCCCAGATTGAGCTGTGGTCCCCATAAGAACCTTACATTTATCCAGCTCATTATCCTTGCCTTCGTACTTGGTTGCCCAATTCTTGTTTGATTCTGGCTCATTCCTCCAAGTTGGCAAGACAGTATTCACCTCACTTTATAGAAGGTAAAAGCAAAACTTAGAGGCAGGTCCAGTATGTACCCATCATTCCTGATTTCCTGCTAATACTTTACAGATGTGTAAATATTAGAGCTGAGGTGATATTTTGCTGTTCACAGTTTGGTTTCAAGGAGTACTTTGTTGAGGCCTCTATGCCCCTGGCTGTTGAGCCATTAGTGCACCTAATCTTCCCAGCTCCTTACCGGGGAGGGTAGGCAGGTACAAACCCACAATCCTCCTGCTTGGCCCCAAGAATAAAGAACATAGGCTTCACAAGGGCAGGATTCATGCCCTCTTTTGCTCACTGATACATCCTAGATACTTAGAACAGTGCCCGGACCATGCTAGGCACTTAGTGCACTTTTGTTGAATAAGTGAATAAAAAGGTGTGGATTGGCAGGCACCTCCCATGAGCCCAGGATCCTGTTTCTCTTGCTTCTTCCCAGCCTTCGGGACCTGCCTCAGTGTCCCCTCAGTATTTCTCTCTCAGTCTTCTAGTACCTCGTGCATATCCTTCATAGCATATTTGTATTGAGATGTAACTTACACATGATACAATTTACCCACTTTAAAATATACAATTTCATGGGGTTTAGTACAGCTATAGAGTTGTGCAACCATTACCATAATTTTAGGGCATTTCATCACTACAGAAGAAACCCCCTACCTTTGACAACCACAAATTTCTTGTTTTTCTGGATATGCTGATTTGGGGGCATTCTTTAGCAACAGAACTGTACACCATGCAGTCTTTTGGAACTGGCTCTTTTTTTTTTTTTTTTTTTTTTTTGATGGTGCTGGGGATTGAACCCAGGTCCTTGTGCATGAGAGGCAAGCACTCTACCAACTGAGCTATATCCGCAGCCCTGGAAGTGGCTCTTTTATGTTCTCACTTCATAGCATTGTGAACTTGGCTGTATTATTTGTTTTTTATCTCCCTGTGCCCGTGGTTGGGAGGAGTCTTTCCCTGGCAGGGAGATCTAGGGAGAACAGTGCTAACCTCTCTAGACTCACTCGCCACCCTTCTCATTTTGCCCAGGAGCCATGTCGCTAGCCGGTGCCCAAGGCAGCCTGTGGTCAGTGGAAGGAGGCAACAAGCTGGTGTGTTCTGGTTTGCTGAAGCTTACCAAGGCCAATGTGATCCATGCCACAGTGACCTCTGTGACCCTGCACAGTACAGGTGAGTAAGAGGGCAGGAGGCATGGCCACAGCATTCCTAGCCAGCTGCTACTCCTGCACCTCAACCCTGGGCTGTGTGCTCTGCCAGGGAGTACTTTTGAAAAAGCAGTGGGAAGCCCCATTGACGCTAGAGGGCGCTTTTGCCTTGATTCAAATGTCAGAGCCAGGAAGCTGAGTCTTCCATCAATCCAGCCTGTTCCTTTGACCAAGGAAGACTGACAGTCTTTACAGACTCTCTCAGCCAGTCAGCAGCAGAACCAGAGAAGGAACTTGGGCCCCCCTGATTCCAAATCAAGTGCTCACCCTGCAACTGTACCAGTATGAAGAGAGATGGGACAGCCCCGCTCCCTCCTTTCCCACCTTACAGTCTGGCCCCCAGATGGGAGATCAGTGGTTAGAAGACAAGGAAGAAGTTGACTTTGGTGCTGTCTTCTCTTTCCTTCCAGAAGGAAAAGCCTTGTACCAGGTGGGGTATGAGAGTGAACTGGGCAGTGGATCCGACTTCTACGACATCGTGGTCATCGCCACCCCCCTGCACCTGGACAACAGCAGCAGCAACTTCACCTTTGAAGGCTTCAACCCACCCATTGATGATGTCCAGGGCTCCTTTCAGCCCACTGTCGTCTCTTTGGTCCATGGCTACCTCAACTCTTCCTACTTCGGCTTCCCTGACCCAAAGCTTTTCCCCTTTGCTAACATCCTTACCACAGATTTCCCCAACTTCTTCTGCACTCTGGATAACATCTGCCCCGTCAACATCTCCTCTAGCTTCCGGAGGAAGCAGCCTCAGGAGGCAGCTGTTTGGCGAGTTCAATCTCCCAAGCCTCTCTTTCGGACCCAGCTGAAGACCCTCTTCCGTTCCTATTACTCAGTCCAGACAGCTGAGTGGCAAGCGCACCCCCTCTATGGCTCCCGCACCACCCTCCCAAGGTTCGCACTCCATGACCAACTCTTCTACCTCAACGCCCTGGAGTGGGCGGCCAGCTCTGTGGAGGTGATGGCTGTAGCTGCAAAGAATGTGGCCTTGCTGGCTTACAACCGCTGGTACCAGGACCTGGACAAGATTGACCAGAAGGATTTAATGCACAAGGTCAAGACTGAGCTGTGAGGACCCCAGGGAGAGCCCAGGAACTTCTGCACCACAGTGAAGATGGTCACACCCACGGCAGCCCAGGACCGACAGCCACATTCCCTGACAAGCTGCTCTTTTGACCCCTTATGTATTTTTTCCCTCCAGTGTGGGTCCAGGTGATCCACCACCTGCTATCTATCTTAAGGACCTTTACAGTTTTGAGGGAGAGGATAACAAAAGGGAAGGGAATTCAAGCCAGTGTACTTGTCTTATTTATTTATTATTTTTTAAGGAGAAATAAAAAATCATCTTCTCAAGCTGCTTCTAACTTGGTTTTCTAGCTAGGAACCAGGATGACTATGGAATATAAGGCAGAAAACTCTTGAGTATGAATTTTTTTAATTCCACTACCTACTCCCAAAATGTACAATCATTTGAAGCAACCTACAGTAAAACATTTACAACCCAGTAGTTACTAGAGAATAGAAGGGAAGATCAAAAAACCTAAGAAATTATAATAGCTCCTGTTTGCTCTGGGCCTGATGGATGGGAAGTACCTAGTTCAGAATTTTCTTAGATACCGTCTCCAAGCCTCTCAACAACACTGCACATTTTAGGAGATGGCTGGTAGGACCTGAAGAAGAGATGTTTACCCCAGCACTGCCATTGGTATAGCTCTGAGCTTCCTGGCAACCAGTGGGAAAAGAAACAAACTAAGCTACAGGAAGGGGGAAGCTTTTCCTTGGTATCTGTAGGAACTGAGCATTCTGGTTTTTATGCAAGGGTTCAAGGGTATTATGACATCTGTCTTGCAAAGAAGAGAAGTCCTCAGATGGTGGAGGGCAGATATTCCTCACTCCCAAACCTTCATCTCAGCAGAGGAAAAGAAGGTTATAGGACAGAGTTGTTCAGAGATTAATCTGGTACTTTCCCCTCTAACTTCAGAGGACAGGACAATTGTGCTTTGCCTTTTCTACAAATCAGTAGAGTTTTGTGTGGTTTTTTTGTTTGTTTGTTGTTGTTATTTTGGTTTGGTTTTTGTTTTTTTGGTGTGGTGGGGGTGGAGGAGAGACTGGGGATTGACCCAGGAGGCACTCAACCACTGAGCCACATCCCCAGCGTTTTTAAAATATTTTATTTAGAGACAGGGTCTCACTAAGTTGCTTAGGGCCTGCCTAAGTTGCTGAGACTGGCTTTGAATTCATGATCTTCCTACCTCAGCCTCCTGAGCCACTGGGATTATAGGCATGTGCCACCATGCCTGGGTTTTTTGCTTTTTTGAGAAAGTAAAATCTTTATTCTCTTTGGATCAGTGTCTTTCTGTAAAAGGAAGAGAATGTAGGAATGGAGCCCTAGGCACCCTGCAAGCATGGTCCATGGGCCAACCACCACATCTGAATCTCCTGGAGAAGGGAAGGGAGCTTGGCAAGGTGTCCCACCCAGACTTGCTAAACCAGGCTTCGGGGAGAAGCCTGGGTGCCCAAAGGAAACATCTCTGCCAAATGATGCTATGTTAATACTGTGGCTTTCCTAACAGAAACAGTCCCCAGAGGTCATCCAGCTAACTTTCCTCTCTTTGCAGAGACGAAGATAAAAGCCCAAAGTGAGAAAATAACTTGTCGAGGTCTCCTTGGACACAGAACAACTCAAATCCGTCCTGTTAACTGAGTTCAACATGGGGCAAAATACCATTCCAGATGAGGTGCCCAAACTGGCTGTGAGGTTGTTTCCACTATGTCAGCGTGGTGGTAATGGCAGTGAAAGAGATGGAGACTTTAAAGTAAAAGTGGCATTCATTCACTGCTTATTACAGACATCATGACACCTCACTAAGAAGGCTTTGGTTGAAGTAGTAGAATACTGAACTCAAACTCTGAAGCAATAAAGATGGTATTGGGTATGACTTGAATGGCAGGCACACAGAATTGCTATCCCCAGCCCTGTTACTTCTCTCACAGCCCAAGATGGCTGCTGGCAGCTCCCCAGGTGAAAAGTTCTTTTTCTACAACCACTAAACCCAATTCCAGGCTCTGGGCCAGTTGGACCACCCCTGAACCAATTCCTGTGGCCAGGGGAGTGCCACATGCTGATTGGCTTAGGACCTAGATACCAGACCATTCACTGTGACACAGGAGATAAAATTAAGCTGAATCCAAATGTTTATTATCCGAGTGTTTGGGTTGGAGGGATGGAGAGAGCCACAATGTCAGCCACATGCTGACATCTCGAGTCCAGTGATATGGCATCTTTTTGTTTTGTTTTGGTAACGGAGATTGAACTCAGGGGTACTCAACCACTGGGCCACATCCTCAGCCCTACTTTGTGTTTTACTTAGAGACAGGGTCTCATTGAGTTGCTTAGCACCTCAGTGTTGCTGAGGCTGGCTTTGAACTTGCGATTCTCCTGTCTCAGCCTCCCAAGCCGCTGAGATTACAGGCATGCAACCACCGTGCCTGGCTGACATGGCATTTTGTGATGGCCTTTGCTTGAAAAGAAGATGGTGTAAACTGTCATGGTGTAATTGATAACTGGTATCAGGCCAGGGGAAACACAAAACATATCCCTAATAATCACCCTTCCCTTGTGTCCCTAGGGAAGTACGTGCACAGACAATACAAATGGGGATGGTTACATGTGATCCTCAGTCCTCAGCTGGGGCTTTGGCTGCCTGCCCAAGCACGACTACAGTGGAACTGGCTGTCCTTCAGAAACCTCCTTTACCTGAGAGGCAGGACCTGACAGTTCAGAACTGAAGTCAGCCAAAATACCCATGCTGCCTGCTTCCCCAAGCCCAGGCCTGAAAGTTGGATCTCCTGTCTCCCTTCCTTGCATACAAGGAAGAAAAGACAGATTCCAGAAAGGGGAACAAGAACCAACAACAAGTCTTTGTCCCAGGGCACCCCACCATCAGCAGCAGCCTTCTCATACCAGAATAGAAGCCCCCAAAGGCCCACAGACTCCTAGGGAAAAAATAGAGCATTTGTAGAGAGCCCTACAACCACCCTCATCCTCAGTAGTCTCTGATGTGTGTAGTGTACTTTGCATTTAAAACCCTTCACAAGAACTCCCCCTCCTAGAGTTGGTGACCTAAGCAACATTTCAGCACTCTGTGGGAAGCAAGGGACCACTGTACTGTGTGAAGGGTAGAATTGGGGGGTGCAAGTAGAGAGGTAAGGGACACCTTTGTGTTCCAACCATCACCAAGAAGCATTTGAGGGAGCTAGCGGCAGATCTTGGGCTCCCCCTGGAGGCCTCTATGCGTTAATTCTCCAAGCGCGCACCCTATTGTGCTCTGGGCACTGTGGAGTTGGGGAGCCTGTTGGAGGTGCAACATTGAACAGGCAAGTGAATTGCCCACCTCATGGAGCGGAAGTTTCTCACTAGCAAGTGGAGAAACAGGATAGACTCAGTCCAATGAAGGTTCTGGAGTGCCTGGTGGATCTACTTCTCTTGAGTTCCCTACTGCTGCCTTTAAACCAGGAACTGGTTTTAAAGCTCATGATGCCAGGCTTCCAAGTTGCAGAATGGAAAAAAAAAAAAAAAAAACTGGAAATCCCTAAATCCCATCCATTCATTTACAGATGAGGAACCAGAAGCCCCCAAACATGTAAAGGTTATAATCCATGTATAACGGGCATTTTTGAGCATCTCCATATTTCTGATGCTCTAGTGGAGGATAGGTCCTCACCAAGAAAAAGGGACTTCCTTCCCAAATCCCTGTATCCCTAGGCTACCTTGGTCTCCCAGGACTAAAAAGCAACCCTGCTGGAGCTCAGCTCTTCCCACACCCTCACCCTACCCCAAAAAAGGCCTTAGAAGCTTGTGCCTTTCATGTGGGGCTGAAGTCTTAAGACCTGGAATACACAGGACTGGGAGTGGGGCATAGGACCAGGGATGAAGCTCAGTGATAGAGCAATGCTTTAGCATGTGTGAGGCCCTGGGTTTGAACACCAGTAGGAAGAAGGAGAAGGAGGAAGAGGAGGAAGAGGAGGAGGAGGAAGAGGAGAAGGAGGAAGAGGAGGAGGAGGAAGAGGAGGAGGAGGAGGGAAAAGAAAAAAAAAGAGCCATTTATGGGGGCCTTAGAGTCAAGCAACCCCAAGGAAGGAGACAACTCTGCTGAAGGGATCGGCTCAGCTGGCACATGAAATCTATTTTCCATGTGTCTGGAACCAGGCCTAAGCTTCTTGGAGTAATTTTAACCAGTATCCACTCTAGAACAATACCAAAAAAGGTAAGTTACTTACCACCCCAGACAGACACATACCTAACCATTCGGTTTTTCATGAGTTAGACCCTTGAAAACACTCAGCACTGGGGCTACTTTAAGTAGTAAAGCTAGGAAACCAAGGACAGGATTCCTACAGAGGCTGTTGGTCTTTACACTGAAGTTAATTCTAAAGTGCTAACTCTTCTTACCCTCAGAAAATAGCTCAAGCCCCTCAGCTGTCTTGGAGGGAGAGTATTTTTAGACACTTGGACAGCTGAGTTGGGATTTGCTGCAGGGGTTAGAGGGCCAGAGGGAGGATTGAATTGCTAGGGGCTAAAGGGGGAAACATGGGGTTAGCTGGAGGGGCAAGAACCAGCATGGGCAAGGAGGGCCATGCCGCATTTTTTGATCAGTAAAGTGTCTTGATAAAAGACAGGGGTTCCCAAAGTGTGGTCCCGGACCAGAGGCAGCAGCAGCACCTGGAAACCACTATACTACAAAGAAAAAGAAACCATTGCATAAAAATGAAAAATATCCAGTTCCCACCTAAATCAGGACCTCTAGGTGTGGAGCCCAACAGTCTGCTTCAACAAGCCTTCCAGGGGATTCTGAGACTTGTGAGAGTTTGAGTACCAGCAAACTGTCTAAACGAATGTGATGTGGACAGAGCTGGGTGAAAGAATGACCCGCATTGACTCCGCCCCACTCCTGACAGTTTCTTCAAAGCCAGGGATCCCAGCCCAGATAACAGTATAGACACACATGAAAATTGTAAGGGGTCACTGGCCCATGTTGAAAATGCCTAGTCTTTAGCAACCTGAAGGCCCTTTGGGGGCCCTAAGTCTGATCTGCAGAAAAATCTCAGAACTGAGAGATATCTTATGAATCATCTAATAACCAGGCAAGGACTGGCCTCCCAACCTCCTTGAGAGGCCCAGCCCTAGCTTGATGCTTCCAGGGTGCAGAGCTCACCACTTCAAAATAGTCATTTTTCAGGATCCTGAGTGACTTGGATAGAATCAGCTATTAATTCCTATATGGGTTTATGTCTACCAAGTTCCAATAATATGGGTGGAATACAGGCTTATAATCCTGAAAAGGAAGCATGTTACTGTCCTAAGTGATAGAGATGAAGGCAGTTTTGTTGTTGTTGTTGTTTTGTGTTTTGTTTATATATATATATATATATATATATATATATATATATATATATATATATTTAATACTGGTGACTGAACCCAAGGAACACTTTACCACTAAGCTTTATCCCCAGCCCTCAATTTTTTTTTTTTTTTTTTTTTTTTTTTTTTTTGACAGTGTCTGGCTAAGTTGCTTAGACCTTGCTGAATTGCTGAGGCTGGCTGGTACTTGGGATCCTCCTCAGCCTCAGATTACAGGCAAGTTCCACCAGGTCCAGCTTGAATTAAGTGTTTAATAGCCTATCTCAGAGTTAAAGGAGTCAGAGTGACGGCAAATCCTCCTTTATACTGAATGGAAGTGGGCCTCCGGGGATGGCCAAGCCCCATCCCGCTTTGGGCTTCAGAGCCGCAAGCAGCAAACCCAAAGTCTTGCTTTACAGAGGACAGCATTTACTCTTCATCAGCCTTGCAGTCGCGGGGTGCAGGGAGGCGGTCTTCAGCAGCCGGCCTGCCTTCTGGTGCCGAAGGTTCAGAAGATGCAGGTGCAGCCTACGGCTATGGTCTCCATGACCGCGCGCTGGCGACAGGGCCCGGTTCGCGGCGGTGGCGGGCAGAGGCGCCGGCGCACGGGCACTTGGCTGAACACGGGCACGCTCACCATGCTGCGGTCCTCCTGCATGGTGAAGGGGTTCACGCAGCCCAGACACAGGCAACGGGCCTCGGGCAGGTCCGCGGGGATGCGGCTGGGGTCGTGGTTGATGCTACAGGGAGCGAGCAGGCAGAGCTCAAGGTGAAGGTGCGGTCACAAATGAGCAAATGACGTCCCTCCCCAAGCCCCGACCTTCGCTTTTAGTTGTTGCTGCTTTTTGTTTGTTTGGGTAATAAGGATTGAACCCAGGGGTGCTTTGCCACTGAGCTACATCCCCGGCCCTTTATTTTATTTTTAATTTTGAGACAAAGACTTGCCAAATTGCTGAGGCGAGCCTTGAACGTGCAATCTTCCTGTCTCAGCCTCCAGTCGCTGAAATTAAAAGCTGCCACCGTGCCTTCCTGGCCCTAACCAAAGTTTTGATTTCTACAGCAAGACTGTGCTGCACTGGAAGGAAGGGTGGTAATCAACTCATGTTTCTGGTGAGGAAAATGAATATGCCATCAGGAAGGAAGGCAAGCCTCGGTCCTAGAAGCTATCCAGGTCAAGGTCACCAATCACCCGCTGCCTTAAACCCAGCAAGATGCCCATCCCTGTACTATAGTGTGCTGTGAGTACAAAGGAGAGGCCTAAGAGCCCTCCTCTGCTTACCCACCCTATTTTTATATTTGGGAGGAACTTACAGAAATAAAATGGGAACACATTGATGTGACTTTCCAGCAGAAGAGAAGTCAGGGCAGCTGAGTACACTTTAGGCTCCATCTCCACTCATTCAACACATTTTACAGATTTGCCATGTGAGCGATTCTGTCCTGAGCTTTTAAAATATTTTTTGAATAAAACAAATGAGCCCCTTCCTGGTGTTCTCATGGAACCTAGCGGAACTTGCTGGAACTTTCCTCTGTACCTTAGTGGTTGCCTTCATTAAGCGGGGCTGGGGGATGGGCGAACTAGACCTATGAACATTCGGCACCAGCATCACCTTATTATGCTTGGGACCTTGTGAGAAACACGGAACCCCTTGAACCAGAGCCTGCATTTCTACAAGCTCCCTGATTGGTTCATGGGCCCAGTAAATTGAGGGAAGCCACCAGGCTCTGGAGGATCCTTACTGACCTGCCCAATAGTCCCATTCCAGGATTGCACTGTCCAATACTGTAGCCACTGGCCACAGTACAATGTATGGCCAACATACACTGACATTAATCAGAATTAGTTCTTCAATCTCATTGGCCACATTTCAATTGTTCAGTAGCCACCTGAGGCCAGTGGCTACCATATGAGTTTTTTTTTTTTTTTTTTTTTTTTTACCATCACTGAAGTCCAGAGTGCTATCCTGGGGTCTCAGGAGATAAGGCGTGTGACTGAAGGGAGGACTCTTGAGAACCAGCCTGTTTCTTTATTTTCACTCAATACCTTTACGTGGTCCCTTCCATGTGCAGGCTCTGAGCTGGGAAGTGAAGCTCTAACCACGGTAAGAACCCAGGGCAGCAGGGTGGATTCCCGAGTCAAAACCTGGCTGTGAGTCCTACTCTATGTAGATAAATATACAGTACCGTGTTCTGGGCCTGAGTCCCGGACACTGCGACAAGCTGGGGCATGGAAGCCCTTAGGTGATCCTGGTTCAGGCATTAGGGAGGTCCCCATTTGGCATGAGAGGTAGGCATGAGCCCAGCCACCAACACAGCCACTGACAGTTGTGCACCAGGCACTGTGCTGCTGGACAAAGTGATACTTGGGGAAGGCCTTGCAGGCACTTCAGCTGGGACAGTAAGGGCAGTGCTCTGCATGGATATGCATATAACAAGCCTGCAAAGTGGGTGCTACAATCATCTCTGCTACAGTTGGGGAAACTGAGCCCCGGAAAGACTAGAACTGGGCCAAAGCCTCACAGCGGGTGAGGGGCAGAGCCAGATTCAAACCCAGACTGCCGACTTCTGAACCCAAAGTTCTGACCGTCTCAATGACTGGGGTTGGCAAAGGCCCCCACCCTCCAATAGAAATCTGGCCTGCCACTGCCACCACCTACCTGTAGCCCCAGGGAGACAGGCTCCTCTTGTTGGACAGCCACAGCTGCAGGTCCACCTCGCACTTCCTCTTGGCCGGCTCCGAGCTGTTTCTGAGCTGGGCCACCATCTCTCCGAGGTTCCTCTCGTACTCCTCCATACGAGCATAGGGCTTCACCCGGGACACCAGGTCAAGTGGCATCTGGTGGGGCCCAGGCGCTAGGGTCCCAGGCCGCCCTTGCCCCTTCCTCTTGCCTTTGGGGTTCCTAGGCTGGCCAAGCCCCAGAAAGATGGAGATGACCAGAAGGAGCAGCTGGGGAGGAAGGCCACTGGTCAACATTGGGAGCACCATGTCTCTCTCTGGGGCAAAACTCAGGGCCCAGGGAGCAGAGATGGAAGAAGAAAGGCTTCTGCAATGGGCCCCCTTCACCTACCATGCCCTGGCCTGGTCCCATGTTTGCGGGTGCTTGCTGTGCACCCCACTCCATGATGGGCACCAGTCACACCTCCCCCCCATCTTGAAGTCCTAAAAATAGGGCACCTCGGAAAAATCTTCCCACCCATCCATTCTATCTGCAGCACTGTCCCGGCTTCCAGGACAGCTCCACAGCCCCCAGCTGGGCTTCCCAAACCCCCTCTGGTTCTTCCAACCAATTCTCCACATGTAGCCAAGGAAAAATGCAAATTTAATAATGTCACCTCTCATTAGCACCATTCCCATTGCCCTTAGGAACTCCCAGGCCCCTCTGGGCTTCCTCTCATATTCCTGTTCCAGCTCCAGTCTTCCATCTCTTGTTCTAGCCTTGTTCCCTCCTGCCACAGGCACTTTGCACAGGCCTCTGTCTACAGAGTTCTGCCTCTTCCCTTCACCTTCTAAACCCCTTTGCACCCTCACATGTGGGACCTAGTGTCACTGCCTCGGGGATGCCTCTGGACTTCCTTGGCTCTCATAATCCATGAGTCACTTGCATGACTGTCATCTTACAATTATACGTGTGACATTTTTGTATGTTGGGCCTCCACTGAGCACAGACTCTCCAAGGCACTATGTCAGTCTGGTCCTTTGCATCTGTGGTGCTAGGAACTTAGGTATGAGTGAATGGATGACACCACTTCCCCTGCCCTGGGTGACAGTCCTGGAGGGAAGACAGTGCTAGTGTCAGGTGGAGGAACCAGCCTGTGCAGAGGTGGCTGGAGAAAAGCAGGGCTCCTCTCAGCTTGTGCCAGAGCAGCAGGCCTACCAGGCTTTCCTGGGCAGGGGACTCAGGGGAGGCTTGTGACATGGGCAGAGCGAGTCTCAGTCTTCCAGGGAGGGGAGCACTGAGAGAGAGGTCTGAGCTGGTTAAGAGCTTTGCTGAAAGGAAACAGGCTGGAGGAGAGTGGGTGGGAGGAAGGGGGCAGGGGTGAACTGGGGGAGATGCACCAGTCCCAGGCTTGGGCTCCCGCGGGCCTCTTCTCAAAGACCCCTGTGTGACCGGCCCTGCCCTGCCCCACTCATGGCCACCCTGGCCTTCTGCTGCCCACTTTCCCTCCCCAGGACCAGCACGTCAGGAAAGCCTGTCTCACGTGGAAGAACCAGGCTTCCCTGGAGGCCAGGGAGAAACAGGCCCTGGGAACCTGGGTGGGGCGCAGAGCTTCCAGAAGAGACTGACTTCTAGGGAGTCTGGGCCCTGAATCTAGCCAGGCCCCTCACATTCCCTGCAGCCCTCCCCCAGCTCACAGGACCCAGGCCAGATTCGCCCAGGCTACCGAACAAGGCTTGACCCTGGGGAACAAGTCTCAGCACAGACCCTCTTGGGGGACCCATTCTCTGGCACAAAATCTGCAAAAGAGGTTCAAGTCACTACATTCTTCTGTTTGGTTCTAGATTCTAGAGCAGAAAAATGTTTCTCTCATCTGAGCTCCTCACGTGGCATTCTTAACTCTGGCTGTCCACCCAGAGAAACCCAGAGGAGACCCCAGGTCCCCCTCCCTCACTTTCCAGATGGGAAACAGAAACAGAAGGACTTGCCCAAGGTCACACAGCTCCCCTGGATCCCAGGCCTGGAAAAAACCCCAGTGACTGAGTTTGCCAGCATCTCCCCAGATGCCCCTGCCTGAAAGAGCGTCAGTGTGGAAGGGCTGAACCCTAAGCAGGAGTCGGAGTGGCCAGCCATGCCTGCAGGCTCTGAGACCAGCTCTGTTTCTCTCTCATCCTGGAGGGAAGGACAGAGGGAGAGCTCACCTCCACAGAGTCCAAGCCAAACACAGGCAGTCATTAATCAATAGGAAAGAAATACTAAGGCACTCAGGCCCTACGGGGTGGGGGTGGGGCTGGGGAGCGCCACGTACCAGGTTGTGTGGCCAGTCCATCCCGGGCCGTCGGCGGCCTGCAGCTGCTACCCGCCTGGAACCCCAGATGCCGCTGTGGAGAGAATGGCAGCAACAGGATGGAGCGCAGCAATTATAGCTCTACAGGGGGCTGCTGGGGGAGTGGGTGGGTGGGCTCATCATCAGCTGGAGTCTTGGGCCCCCAGCTGGCTGGGTCTAGCGCAGGGCAGGCAGTGAGGTGTGTGGGGGCAGGCCAGGCACTGGGCTGAGGTGCCCAGGAGCTGTTGACCAAGGGACAATGCCCTGTGTGTCTGGCGGGGCTCTGGCTGGTGGCACCTCCGCCTGTGGCCTGCGGCTGGCCGCCCGGCCAGCACCCACAAGGCCAGCTGAGACAATCAGCTTCGTTTGCTTTGGGGATGGCAAGGGGGTGAGGGTGGAGGAGGGATGGGCTGCCGGTTGGTCAAGAAAGCAAATGTTCTCAGAGAGAGTGCTGGCCATGCGTCCCCGGGAAACCGCCCCAGGCTCTCAGCCTCTGCCAGCCTCGGGTGCTGGGGAAACTGAGGCTTGCTCAAAGAGGGGATCCGCCCAGTGTCACACAGTGAGTTGGAGGGAATAAGCTGGGGTTTGTGCCTGGTTCTGGTCTGGAACTCTATCCCTCACTCCACGCTGTTTGGGGATGTTTTCTGCCTGCTGTGAATGTGTTTCTGAGCCTGGGTGCTTCGCTCAGGCCGGTGGCAGATCCACGAGGACTTTATGGTGGATCAACTGGCCTTCCTAATGCAGCACTCCCCTCACATGTGCAAGGTCTCCACTCCTGGGCCTTCCCTGTGTGGCTGCTTGGGAGGCCCCCTTCTCTCTCAACCTTTTCTGTAAAATGGGAGTTATGCCCAGGAAGAGACAGTGACCTGGAGATTCCTCCCTGAAATCATTCTGAGCCTCAGTTCCCACATCTCTGAAATGGGAATAATCATAGCATCCAGCCCTTGAGGCTTCCAGAAGGAATAAATGAAATGATCCATGTTAAATAGCTGGCATAGAGCCTGGCACATAGTAAGTGCTCAATAAAAATATTTTTAAAAAAATTTTTTTAGTTGTAGATGGACACAGTATCTTTATTTTATTGGTTTTTATTTTTATGTGGTGCCAGGGATCGAACCCAGTGCCTCACGCATGTTAGGCAAACGCTCTACCACTGAGCCACAACCCGGGCCCCTCAATAAAAATTTTATTATAAAGCAATTTTATATCTACGATTATAAACATTAGCTCTTCTGATTAGCATTAGAGCTGACATGGTTTTTATTACTTGACCAACAGCCTTCTGTCCCTGAGGCCCACCCTCTTGGCTGAGAGAGCTCAAGCCCTCCCAGACTCAGGCCACAATTTCATGAGCTCAGKTGACCCCAGAGTCCCCAGACCCTGGACTCACATACCAAGGTCTCTCACCTGGAAGGAATGGGCCAGCCGAATGTGAGCGAGCAAGTGAACCCACACAGAGAGGCGTGGGGAGGGGGGCAAAGAGCAGGGGAGGGCTGCCGGGACAGACCGCCAGCACTGCCCTGTCTTGCTGAGGACTCATCTTGGCCATTTACAGGAATTGGCAAGGGGAAGAAGGCAGGGCGAGAAGCRCTCCTGAATGTCACAAGATTAATCTGTCCAGGGCAGGTTTCCACAGCATAACTGAGAAGCTGGCTGGGGCTCGAGCCCTTCGRGAGATACCACCATATTTGGTCAAATACTAGACAGGGCTCTGTTCTGCCGCTGGAAACTCCAGAGGGAGGGGGATTCTGAAAGCATCTCCTGGGGCAACCAGGGCCACCCACCCCCAGCCCTGGCTGTCCCAACCCCTCTGCCACTGTCCTTTGGGCAAGTGAAAGGAATAGGCCGAGGAGACCAATGGCCCATCCTGGTTGTATTCTTTACTACCCTTCTCAGGGCCCCGTGAGCATGCAGCTTGAGACCCCTCCCGTGTCCACGTAAGGACATGGGACATTGAAAGATGGGGGTTCCTCTGCGGTTCATGACCCCTGAAGCCCCCGTCTCCTTACCTGCTGGCATACGCAGCCCTTACTTCTGCCTTCCAAAGCCAGGACCCAGCAGCCTCCCCAGCAGCCAGCTGCAGTGTTAATGTTCATAGAGATTCCAGGGTCGCAGCCCTGGAGAGTCTGACGTAGGAGACCCAGGAATCTGCACTTCACCCTGAGCCTGGTCTGGGAGCTCCAGGCATCCTCACCCTTCATCCAGCCCCTGCTGCCCACTTCACTACAAGTGGGAAGGCCTTGCCCAGGATCACACGGTGTGCTGTGCACAGCTGGGTGCAGACGCGTCTGCTCATTTTATTCACTGTTCTCCCCTCTCAAGTTTATATCAAAGCCCTGGGCCAGGCTGGGCCTCCTTGTTGGTCTAGAGGGGGCCTGTCCTTCGGGGGGGGGGGGCGCAGACCCCTCATCATGGGTTCCCAGACAGGTGCCCAGGACTATTGTTGGACTTCCCAGCCCTGGGCCATTGCAGGCCAGGGAAGAGCCTTCCCTCAGCCTTGGCTTTGAGAAACCACTGAAGGATCATCTTCCCTTAGAGAGGTCCTGAGTGTGAACATTGGCAGGCCGTGGGACCCAGCCCCCGAGGCCAGTGCCAGGCCTCACATGGGAGGCTAGGCTCCTTGCTCTTGAGGCACAGGAAGTGGACAGCACCTGCCAGGGTGGGCAGTGGGTGTTCCTGAGAGACTGTTTTGCTGAAAACCTCACCAAGAGCAGTGCAGCACTCACCACCAGGTGGCGCCACCAGAAAGCCAGTCAGCCCCAAAGAGCGCTGCAAACCCTGGTAGGACTTTGAAGCTAGCCACCCCTTCCCTGTAGCCTGGAGTGGGCCCTGAGGTGAAAATGAGATGAGCTAGAGGGTAGGGGCCCTGTGCCTGCCCCTGGCTTCCTAGGGATCCTTCTGCAGATGAGGACCAGCTCCCACGTCGGAGCAGGAAGGACCCTGCCAGCCAGGGTGCTGGCTGAGTGAGTAATCCTCTTTACTTTGAGCACCTACTATGTGCTAGGCGCTCCGTATTTGGCACTTGCACACTGTGATCTCCAGAAAATAACAGCTAGCARTGATAACCGTTGCTACTTAACATCCATCTACTGTCTGCCAGGCCAGAGCTGACTCCTTCACGTGTGTTCTCTCTAAATCCTCCCCATGGCTCTGTCAGGGGACAGGTCCTAGTTCATCCCACAGTTATGACTTGGGTTGGAAACTTACTTAATCACTTGCCCAAAAAGTTCCAGAATATGCAAAGCAAGTTTGACCCTGCRCATGTCATTCCCTGCCGTGGGCACTGCCGCCAGAGAGCAGGATGTCCCACTGGTTCACTGGCCTTTGAGGATGATCAACCTCACACCAACATTCTCCAACACCCTTGGCCTCACCAAGCCCAAGGCCAAGTTAGAGTCCTGGGGAGTGGAGGGGAGTCTGACAGCTCCCAGATTGTGGACGCCACAGCCACAGCCTTTCTGGCTTGTGGAAAGGACTCACTAAATACTTGGTACATTCAATCAAACCAGCTCTAATACCAGAAGATGATGCTGGGATGATGGGGGAGAGGCCAGAGCAGTGGAAGCTCAGAGGAGAAGGTGCAGCCCTGGTGGAGGTGTGGAGGCGCTCAACATCCTCGGGTTAACAGACCTGAGTCTCAGTACTGTTCCTACCCCCTTCATAGCTGTGTGACCTTGGGAAAATTACTCCACTTCTCTCTTCTGCTCAGTGGAATTAATAACAACATGGTTCTTGGGGCTGGGGATGTAGCTTGGTGGTAGAGCACCTGCCTAACATATGTGAGGTTCAATCCCCAGCACCACCAAAAAAAAAAAAAAAAAAAAAATTCAAATGCAAATGATCACAACTTGTTTCTCAGTTGATTATTGCAAGGGTCCAATGAGTTGATGCATGTTCAAGTACCTGGCAACGGTGAGTGCCCACTTTAATGGTGGCCTTGTCAGGGGCCTTTGAGGATGCTTCTGAAGGGTAAGATACATCCTAGGTAGGAAGGGCCTTATGAGATAGGTATGGAGGAGACTAAGTGGAAGAATGCAGAGACCTCTATTTGGTGGGCCCACCCTGGAGCTCAGCTAGGCTAGGAGGACCTGAGGGTGTGGGTGTAAACTTCGCCAGTGGACCCAGTGAGGTCGAGGAGGCAGAAGCCAACTAGCAGACGCATTTTGCTGGCTGTGGTCAGGAAGGCGCAGCCCCCAGGAGGTCCTGGCTCCTCTGCCCTGCCGCCCACCCTCCCTCCCTGGTAGAAGTCCTTCTTCCAGGCCCATATTTGAACAAATGCCTGCCTCACTGCTCACTCGAGAGCCCCAGCCAAGAGGGGCTATTTTAAGCTCCCTGGACGGGAACACTGTTGGTGGGAACAGTCCCAGCCAGCAAGCTCCCAGTTCTCAAAAAAGGGAAAGGCCTGGGTGAATGGGCGGCCCCTGAGATGTGCCGAGGGGCTGCCACAGCGGTGGGATCCTGTGGCAGGGCCAGGCACAGGGGGAAGTCAAGAAGCAGGGGGCTGGGGCGGGGCTCTCTGGTGATGGTGCTGAGACCACCCTTCTGCCCATATCCCGCCGTGAAGACACCAAGGGCTTGGGGTTGCAGACTGACCCAATACGGGACCAAGTGCCCCCTTCACACTCCTCACCACAGCTGTCAGCCCCTCCTCTCACTGGGTGGGTCTGTGCCTAATTGGGGTAGGAGGCCCCACTTTCCATCAGAAGGACAAAAAGGGACCACAGACCACCAGAGGCAGGAGATGCCTCATGCAGGCCCACCCAGGGCAGGAATCCCTCTGAAAGGTCTTTGCTGGGTACCTCCCTTCAGGCTGGGGAGATCAGTTCTCTCTAGAACACGCCTTTCATTTTTACATAAAGGTACTTCATGTTTGACCAGTTCAGGCTGTTTTTTATTATGATTTGGCTTGGGTTTATGTGTGCCTGTGTTTGTGGTGTGGTACTCGGGTGGGCATAGGKGCTATTTTTGTTCTTTGATTTTGTGAAGAGCCAGTTTAGACTAATATTTAAAGGACAGACTTGGACCAGAGTCGCCTGCACCCYAGCCCTGCCACAGAGCAGCTGGGTCACCTTGAACAAGTGACCTAATCTCCCTGAGTCTAGGCCTCAAAGGATGACGTAGCAAGACCAGGCTAATTGCCTGGCTCAATGTGGCCCTCAGCGAATGACTCTACTCTTATTTAATTGTTTTATTGTTCTTAGTTCTGCCCAATCAAGTGGCAGAGAACAATTCTTGTCAGTCCAATTCTAGAACCTTCTAGCTGCCAGCGCTACCCAGGAATGCAATGGACTGCCCTGGGAAGAGTGAGCTCCCAGGGGCCCACGTGTTTCAGCAAAGGCCACAAGACCAGTCGGGAGCACTGTGAGGGCTGTGCAGGTCAGGGAAGGGGTTGGGCTCCTTGAGCTTTAAAAGTTCCCTTCCAGCATTGAGATCTAGGTCCAGATCTGTCCATGACCCCAGGCCCCATGGACGGCTGTCCAGCCTGGCTTCACTTGCCCAAACCTGGGGCAGGAAGAAGCCGGAGGTAGCTGCTGGGAGACATGGAATAAACAGCCTGTCCCCAGGGCAGCTGAGGCGCCGGGCCCCCTGCCCACCAGCACCTCCTCCCCTTGGTCCCAGGGGATGTTTATACTCTGGTCAGAGTTTACAGGACGTCTGGATTTACAAGATCCAGAATCCTGACTCTCCGCCCCCCCCCACAGCTGTCAGCCCCTCCTCTCGCTGGGTGGGTCTGTGCCTAATTGGGGTAGGAGGCCCCACTTTCCATCAGAAGGACAAAAAGGGACAGGCAGCATAAGATGTGTTCTCTTCAGACCCCAGAGCCCAGATCCTGGTGGAGGAATGAGCCTGGGTTGGGGCCCCTCGCTGTTGTCAAGAGAGGAGTCGGGGGTCAGGCAAGGTGGGGCAGCCAGCAGCAGCTTCTGCAGCCTGGGTCCCCAGGCCTGAGCCCTGAACACCGCACCAAAGCTGGTGGTGCTTGTTAAGTCGGCCTTGCGTGCTGGCTTCTGTTACAGGCTCCGCTGGGGCTGTTTTTACTGCTGTTGGTTGTGTGTCTGTGTGTGAATTTGTGGAGGGCATCTTGAATACGTGTGCTTTGTTTGGTTATTGTTCTGAAGGGCCATGGAGAGAGAGCTGCTTCCAGGCTGCTAATGTGTCTTATTCTCAGATGTATGTCTCGGCACCTGGCCTGGGAGCCTGGGACCCGCATGACCAGGGCAGCATTTACTAAAGGACACTGTGAGGGATACTCACAACCCACCACTTGGGGGACAGGCAGCAGCTCTGAGACACAAGGAGCTTTGATAACTATAGCCAAGGGCTCTGTCCCCATTCTCCTGACCCCAGAAAACACCTAAGCCCTTAAGGCTTCACAACTCCCGACCCTGGCCTCCTGGCAGAAGCTCATCTCTGTGGCCTGGACCTGGGAGGACACAGTGCTGAACAGCAGCCCCAAATGGTGGTTAAATGTCTTGCCTAGTGTGTTCCTTCAGTGTCTGTGAGCCATGACCTTCAGGGCATTGGCCCACAGGCCATGAAGTACCTCTGAGAGCTCTTGAAGTCATCCATTCACTCCCTTTAACAAATATACATTGAGCACCTACTTGTACCTATGCTGTTCTAGGCACTGGGGAGGCAAGTTCCTGAGCTTGCGTCCTAGTGAAGGATGGGGGTATGACAATAGTGATCATCTCAGGACCAACTTGCAGCTCTGGAACTCTTCCTCTCAGTCCTCTGCACCTTCTGCATCTGTGGGAACGGCTACATCTTCTGGGAAGCCCATGACCTTGGCCCTCGGGGCATGTGGAGGAAGGTACAATGTCTCCAGAATATGAAATCTTGCCAAATTTCCATTGGAAGGTCAGTTCTCATAAATATTGCCAGGAAAGAGGAAGAAACGACTAGTGTGGAATCCGACCACTTCCAAAGTCCAGTTCCCAGGAAAACAGCCTCGAGAACCGCTCCAGCGTTAGAAGGCAGCTTCAGGGCTTCCACGTGGAGACAGAAGAGGTCATGCCACTGGCCCAGGCAGAGGCTGATGACAGTCGCCTGCTGAGAAGAGTGATACTCCTCACACATGCGGAGCACCCTACAGTTTAGGAAACGCCTTTGCTCTCTTAATTTACTCCATGTATCAACCGTATGAA